ACACCTGATCCACTCACCAGACGAGAGCTGCTAAGCCAGGTTTCTAGCCTGTATGACCCACTCGGCCTTGTGACTCCTGTCAAACAAAAGGGTGCCATCCTGGTCAGGAGAGCTTTTCAAGAAGCCAAGGTAAAATACTGGCTAGAAGACTCGTGGGATGCTGCTTTGTCTGAAGGTCTCAGAGAAGACGCTATAAAGCTATTGGAAGAATATGCTGACCTGAGCCAACTTCGTTTCACCAGATCCCTGACTCCACCAGATCTCTGCGCAGAGCCCAGTGCAATCACATTCTCTGATGGCAGCCAACACGCATATGGCGCAGTGATGTATCTTCGCTGGAGTTGCAGCCGTGGTGTCGTTGTGAGACTGGTCGAATCCAAATCCAAGCTGACCCCCCTTGACCACAAAGGGGATCCTGTAAAAGCTGAGATATGCGGAGCAGTCTTCGCAGCCCGCCTCAAGACCTACTTCCAGAGACACTGCCGACTCCAGGTCAAGAAATGGTATCATCTTGTCGACAGTCAAACAGTCCTGGGTGCAATACAGCGTGAGAGTTATGGCTACCAGACTTTCTTCGCAAATCGCGTTGGTGAGATCCAGAGCAGTACCGACGTCCAAGACTGGTGGTGGATTCCAGGGCCAGCAAACATCGCAGATATCATCACTAGAGGGGCCAGTCCAGATGCCCTAACTGAGGACTCCGAGTGGCAGTCGGGTCCAAAGTTCCTCCAACTTCCTGACGATGAGTGGCCAAAGAAATCCGCCAGAGACGTCGCGGCCCAAGCTCGAGACAAAGTCACAAGGATCCAGAAAAAAACATTCGTAGCACTACTCTCCAGATGTCGCCTGAAAACGGCACAAAATCCAGCCCAGCTAGAGTATGAAAGACCACCAGCAGGAGCAGCAGTCCGGCATCTAGTCGATGGAAAGCGCTTCAGCAACCTGAGAAGGCTGATTGGGACTGTGGCTTGGATCTGGAGAGCAGCTAAAAAGTTCTTAAGTGCCGAAACCAGAGACCAAGAAAAGTGGGAGGCAGTACCATCCTCGGGTATCCTTACAGTCAGAGAGAGACGGGACGTGTTTCGAGACCTTTGCCTAGCAGCACAAGAGGGCGTCAACTTCCCAGGCACCACAACAGACAGATTAGTCGTCTACAGAGACCAAACAAGTGGACTTCTAGTTTGTGGTGGGAGAATCCAGACCTTCAAAGAAGACCGCAGAGCTGTTCCCCTCCTACCTTTCCAAGCCTGGTTATCTACCCTGCTAGCCAGAGAAGCACACAGTAAGGGACATGAAGGTGTGGCGGGAACCCTGCTGCGGATGAGGATAAAGGCGTGGGTCATCAGAGGAAGGGTCATTGCCCAAAAAGTCGTTGACAAGTGTATCGTCTGCAAGAAAGCAAAAGCAAGAACCTGCAAGCAAATATGGGAAACTTACCTGATGAGAGGTCTAGTCCTGCTGCACCATTCGAGTTTACGTCCGTTGACCTGTTTGGACCTTACCATGTGAAGGATGATGTCAAAAGAGAGTGACCATGAAAGTATGGGGCGTCGTGTTTTGCTGTATGTCCAGCCGAGCCATTCATGTCGAGCTGGCAAACACACTATCAACAGAGAGCTTCCTGCTTACCTACCAGAGATTCACCGCTGTCCGAGGCCATCCCCGTAAAATCTGGTCTGATCCTGGTACGAACTTTGTCGGAGCGAGACCTGTCCTAGAAGAGATGTACACTTACCTGAATCAACAGAGCAAAGAGTCACTTGAAGAGTATGCTGCCAAAAATGAGACGACCTGGATGTGGAAAATCCTCCCGGCCGATTCACCTCACCGAAACGGAGCCGCCGAAGCTGCTGTCAGAGTCACCAAGAGAGCCCTCCAAAGCCTTGGCAATGTAGAAGGTCTTACCTTCAGTGAGTTCCTGACAGTGCTCCAGCTAGCTGCTAATCTTGCCAATGAGAGACCCATTGACGCCAGAGTCCAAAGCCGAGAAGAGCGCATCCAGTACATCACGCCAAACAACTTATTGCTTGGTCGAGCTACACAAAGTGGAGACTTCAAAACTGTCGACTACACCACCTACCCATTCAAGAGGCTCAAAGAAGTGCAAACGATAGTAAACAACTTCTGGAAGTCCTGGAGCCAACTTGCTGGCCCGAACCTGTTCATTCGCAGTAAGTGGCATACTGCTGAAAGGAACGTTACCATTGGAGACATAGTTTGGCTCTGCGACCAAAATGCACTGAGAGGGCAGTTCAGGCTTGCAAGAGTCATCGGCGCAAATCCTGATTTCAGAGGTGTCGTTCGAGATGTTCATGTGAGAGTCTCCCCAAGTTCCAGCATCTCTGTGAGAAGCTCAAGACCTGGTGCCGCAGATCCTGGATCAAGTACCATACTGCATCGGGACGTCCGGCGCCTTGTGGTCCTCATACCATGGGAGGATCAAGTCAGAGACCAGCCCACCTGAGAGTACGATCTTTCTGGGCGCCGCCACGTAAAGATCGAGTGGGAGGTGTCGCGCTGATCTGGCAGAGGTGCGCCTGTCTCCCGTGTGCCCGCCTCCTCTTGCATGCCGTCTCACCTGCGTGCCGCCCCGCTCTGCATCGGCAGCCGCGTGTGACCGTGCGTGCGCGCCCTGGCGCACCCTCGACCAGGTGAATTGGATTGAGCAATCAGAAGCTCGCACACACTTCAATCAGCGGGAGCATATAACGCAGTCATTTGGCTGGTGGAAATGGACTGACACGACGGAATGAGCAGCACACATCCACTGCGGGGAATGAGACTTTTGATTTTGACGGGCTATCGGTAAGCTCACTTGAACGTTGTTTAAATCTTTTCTGTTTAGGTGTTAATATGGGTGTGTTAAAGTTGTCGCTGCATGGTTGAAGAGAGGGAGAAACTATGTTCAAATGCATGGATATATATGGTTAAAATGTGTGGGTTTTCTACCTAATTTGTGTAAATGAATGCTTAAATAGTAAGCCAAAATTGTTTTTTGTTAAAGATTAATTAAAATGCATAATTAGTTTGGTGAAATGTGAAGAATAATATTGAATTTAAATATACTTACCGTTTTTGAAATATTTACCTTGACTTGTGTTTACTGTGGAAATACCTGTTTATTCAAAATGCTTTTTATTTCTGTGTTTAAAGGTTTTTCACCTATACTGTTCAACTCCTGTTCAATTATTCAAATAAATTATTCTGAGTGAAATCCGAAGTCTGGTCCTTGTCAAGTGTGGACACCTCGCAGTTAAAAGAAACACTTGACAGATAACTTTTAACAAACAAAACGTGAATATGGCTAAGTACGTTGCTGGAAGACAAAGAAAATTTCACAGACAATGCTGGGTCAAAATCTTGGGCGTTGGCGTTGCTTGGACACGGAGCACGCTCCGGTGCTGAGCTTAAGCGAGAGCGCATGTGGCGCTGTGTTTTGTTGCTTGGGGCGTGTTCCCAGGGGGAGGGCTTTGTTTCCCCCGAGACTTCTGTGTCTTAACTTTAATATGTTCTTAAAGTCTATTTGCGCGTTTTTAATCAAATACCTATACAAAATCCACTCTTAAATGTCATAAACAGTTATACCGTTCTGAGTTTTAAGCATTTGATAAAAGGAAAAGAAAAGCTATTAATAATCGTTTAAGTAACAATTATAATAGTTACCAGTTATACATTTCATAGAGATCACAGGAGATGCAAGAGCATCTTAACTGAATACTTCCAGGAGAATACTGGTGGTTAAACATTTTTAGAAAGTATATAACGAAGTTATAAGAGCGTGGCATCAGATTACAAGCAATGAAACAGTATATAAATCAAGCGCAAGGAGAGGCATTAAAGAACAATGACATGAAATACTTAATTTGTCCTCTGGGGGGATACTGGTTCCATGAGACGACCTGGGAATCTTCTGACTATCTACTTAACTAACTCCATGGTTATTTAACACATGACAATATTTCTGTACCATATCATTTATAAAGAAAGTATATAAAGGTGCTTGGAACAACATTAGTTACAACAAATTAAATGCTAGAATTTCGGTGAGCATTGCTGAAGATTAAAGAGCACTGCAAAATTAACTTATTTATGGTTTCTTCTTTTCAACACAGTTTCTAACAAGAACATGGTAATAGAACTACTCAAATTGAAGTGGCACGCCACTAAGGAACTTAAAGATTATTTATTTCAAACAAGGTAATAAGGCTTGTTTATACAATATTCTTGTTCACACAAGGAATTTGAGGCTGTTCCTTCTCTGGCGTCTGGCTTTCCTCACCAGTTTCACAAGTGGGTGTGAATAGTGAGTGTTCTTTGATGTCTGAGGTAATCTGAAAGGGGAACGTCATTACCATGGTTATCCTGCCCTTTTGGTCTTGGGGAGCATTTAGAGTTTCCTGACCTCGGTCCAAAGAGGTCCTGATAGCCGAGTTCAGGGTGAGGTTAGTCTCTGGACAAGGTTAATATTGTCATTTTAACAGTCAAGCATGAGTCTGTTATCTCAACTTCACCGGAGGTGGTAGGTTTTATGGTCGAAACTGCCCAAACAGCACTTGGGAGTGGAGTAAACCTTTCACCCCCTCCTTTGCTGTTCTTCAGTTGTCTGTTGAGGGTTGATATCTCAACCCCCCCTCTATCTCTCTGGGAGAGACAGAGAGAGATTCTAGATTCTTCCTTTTTGGTATAAAATAATTAAACCAACACTGGCTGGTTCACTACAAATGCATGGATTCATAATTGCTGCATTCAGGAGAACACTTGAAGAGGTGTTTTATGACAGAAGTTTGTGTGATTAAAAAACTATTGTGGGTCATCATTAACAACCACAGCTCCCTGAGGAATGCTTCACACAGCAGCTGTTTGCTCTTCAAAGGATTCAGAACAACAAAGTCTCATCAATCCACCTTCACTTTGCCACTCTTAGATTTACAAAAGAGGCAGGTATGGTGCCCAAATGAAAGACCTGATCAATAATTATTTTGCTGTTTTCTTTTCCACAGTTAAACCAACTGTTATAGATGTCGACATATTTGTGAACAGCATCGGACCGGTGTCATCCATAAATATGGTAAGTCCATCCCTTTCATTATGGTTAAGTACTTCCTATATTCACACTTTGTATGCACACAGCTCTGCATCTGTTCATATGCAAGTCTTCATGGTGGCACTAAGGCTTTGTTCAGACTGCAGGGCTTAATGCTCAATTCCATTTTTTTCCCAGATCCGATTTTTTTTTTGTTTGACAGTTCACATTATAATTTAAATTTTGGCCCATATCAGACTCCAGTGTGAACTGTCCGCGGCCTGAAAGTGACCCGCATGCGCAGAAGAAGAACACGACGTCACATGCAGCACGCTGTTGCAGGCTACAGAAGGAGACTCCTGTTTTTCATTGTCCTCTCACGGGTCACGTTTCACCCAAATTATGACAAGTGTTCAGATCTTTCTGTTCTTTTCTGTACGGTTTCTGGCGCTGTAAAACACAACTGCCCCACAACTCCCTCCCTCCCATGTCTCTCTCCCCACTGTGACCACTCAGACAAATAGCATGCACGTAATTCAGAAGAGAGATCGGTGAATTTCAGGTATAAGAAAGGGAATTTGTGAGCAGATGATAGCGAGGTAGAGAAGGAAGCGAGCCACATGTCTAATAATGGCTTTTTGTGGAGCTTTTTCGTTCAGCGCGGCTCCGTCTACAGCAGAACAGCTGCTCTACAGTGACGTCAAAGTCGCATCAAATGCGACCTGAGTGTCCAGACTGAAAAATGTTATATCTTGCTTACGTCTCCCTGGATTCTTGTTTGAATGGCCTGCTCAAATGTACAAATGATATTTTCATTGTTCACTGCCGTAGAACTTTAGGCTTTACGATACATGTATTTACAATTGACAGATATTATCTTTATGGGACATTGCTCTCTCATAAAGGTGCTTGCAAAGGTTGTGTGACTTTATACTCCTTTTTTTTTTAAATCTCAACTCACCAGAGTTTATGAGCCTGAAGCAAAAGAGGCTTTAACTTACTGGATGAGAAGAGGAAAGGAAGGGGAGAGGCAGATCAGAGAGGGATGAGGGAGTCTAGAATGGATATAGAAAAAGAAGGAAAGACAGAAATTGGTGAGAGATGGGTGAGTGTGTGTGAATGGTCTAGGAAAGGAGAGGTATAGGTTTAAGAAATGGATAGAGTATCGACGGTAAAATAGACATTCTGAGGGAAAAAGATTTAAAGTAAAGTTGAGAAAAAAACAGAAGGCGTTTTCTTAGGCAGCTTATCTGATCAAGATCACGTCTGACACTGTATTTTGTTATGAGGTCTGTGTTTTAGGGCAAATGGCCACCCAACCAAAAGTGCAGAAAATGTCTAAATCTACTTTTAGAAAAACTACAGGGCGCAAATCTTTGGTAATGTCAGCTAACTGTGTCATTGTCAACACTTTAGGTTTTAAAGTAAAATCCTTCCACTGCCTTCACATTAACAGAAGATGCATTTATTGTGAATTCCAAGCTGCAAAGTCTCTGAGGCAGCTTTTTGCATGTTAGCATGTTCACCTGCAAATGTATTTATTATATTGCATCAATGTATTTAATGTGGATAGGCAATGTTTGGCCGATAGCTGATCAGCTTAATGTCAGCATCTTAGCCGATGCCGACCAATGTGTTCCTATGTACAGTAAGTGTGGCTGGGAGGGTGGGTCAGTTGAGATATACTTTGGTCATTTGCAGATAGTAGGGATGCACTGATCCAAATTTTGTTCTCCCAATGCCGATTATGATACTGAAATCTGTACACCTCATTACATAGAACTCATTGAAAGCAATTGCATGTAAGGTAACATGAGGGAAAGGATTGTTGCGGCACTAAAAGGTTAGTCTGCAAAGAGTGACAAAGAAATTGTACTTCAATTGTACTTCTCACCCATCCCTGAAAACTGTAATATTTTCAATATCTGTTCATTATTTTGCAACGTGGTAAGTAGTAAACCATTAGACATTCACCTGTACTACTCATTATTACCAATGGCAACACTTCTGTGAAGTCCACATGTCTATAGGCCTAGTGCATTATTTCTACCTGCATCAAGCACTATACAGGCATGCAAACACCTCACCTTTCTCCGTTTTGAAACCAAAATGGGTCACCTACGTGATTTGTGCAGATCCGATGAGAAAATATTTGGGGGTGGAGGGTGGGGCGTTCGTTCGTTGCATTTAGGCCCACCCGTTATATTTACCCCTAACCTTGGCTCTGCCTAACCAATCGTCACTCTAATGCCTCAACCCAACAGCCAATCAGAGGCAGAGTGGGGTGGGTCTTTTTTCAAGTCCGCTACACTGTGGAGCCAGTCAGCAATCGTGATGTAAGACAGAAGTAAGCTAGCTTACAATGTTAACTGTCCTGTCAGATACAATAATGTAGCCGATTTTATAACTTTGCCTACTGTTATTAACCAATAATGTTAGCTAAGGTAATTATTATTTATGGAGACCAGTGGCAGCGTCCTGGATGTAATGTAGGGCAATGTCAACAGGATGAAACATGTCAGCATCTGTGTTATTTACACTGGGGACGCTGGGGACATGTCCCCATCACTTTTTCAAAGCATTTGTTAAAAATGCTTTGAAAAATAGCTTGCAACAAGAAACAATGAAAGTGCTTTGAGAAAGGTTTATTTGCACTTCTTTATTTATTCAAGTAAGATAAAACTACTACTGATTATAAAATGACCCAAAAACGTGCAGAACCACTTAGTAACTTTAACAACAGTTTCTTTTTGGCCAAGTTTTCTGTTCTCTCCTTGTAAAAATGACAAAAGAGGAGGGAAGACTAAATCATGCCTGCATGTGTGCTAATTCAGCAGGGATGATATTACATGAGAAAAGTTGATCTACAGGAGGAACATATGTGAAAGCAACACAGTATGCTGCAGAGAGCTGCACTGCATTATATTCTCTAATATTTTTCGTTTTTGAATTGTCACCTGCCACCTGAATTTTGGGTTTTCCTTTACATAAATAAAAAAAAAAATCACCAGGATGCAGGAAATGAAGTGTTTAATGCTCAGAACAGTCTGGGGGAAGAGTATCGTCACATCCCTAACCTGAGCCCTTATATCCCCACTTTCTCTTGTTGCAGTAGATAAATGAACGTTATCTATACAACATGTAAACTTAAAAACGGACTCCTCATACACTGTCTCTGTGCCTGACCAGTTTGCATGCCTGACTATAACAAATGTGTGTGTGTGTATATATATTTATATTTTTTTCTAACATCTCTTACATTTTCAACATTACTGTTGTCAATCAAACAGCCTGCACACACCCTCACAGTCCTTGAGGTCTAATCAGCCAAATTAAGTGAAAACCTCTTTGTGCCTGTACCTTGGGGTGTTTGGGGGGTTTCTAACCTTGTCACTGTCACCTTGCCACCTGAGTGACTTTGAGTCAACAGTTGACAAATGTTCAAACCCTTTAGTGACTATTTTAAAAACAATTCAGCTTCTTTTTGAGCAGGCATCAGCTTTTTCCCCTGATTCACCTGCTGGTGGTGCAAGATGTGAGCCACATATGGTCAAAGTATCCGAAAAAGGAATAAGGTGTGCTTGCACAGACCTGTGTCAGCAACCAGGAAACAGCCAGACAGACCGTTGTTTTGCTATTGAATGCATTTTTTTGTCACAGAAATGAAACTTTGCCAAATGCTCTATCTTTAATGAAAGAAGAGCCATTTTTACATGCTTGCTTACTTGTATTATACGGCACTCGCATTATTTGTTAATTCTGTCAACTATTGCATTTATAAATGTCTTAATATTGCTGCACCAGGTTATGGGACGTTGTAAGTCCTGTGCTTTATATTGGCATTTATGGAAAATTCAGTGTGCATATATGAGAGGCTGTGATTTGGTTTAATTTACGTAACTACTGAATTTTATTGCCTATGTGGTGCTACTACAGCAAACACTCAAGCACCCCCTCTATGTGACAAGCTAATTTTAAGTCCCATTGTCAAAAGAATTTAAATGCAGTATCAGTTGTCATACTTTGCATTGTTTCTAATTACAATGCAATGTATAATTCACGGTGTCATGACTTCTCCATGAGACAGGCGATGATTAATTCCCTTCACTTTAGGAATAAATTTGGTAATTTTCACATCAAAAGGACAGAGAACAGAAAACTATTCTGCACACGTGGAGACATTTTCCATTTAGAAATTCAAAAGAAATTGACTTAAGAATAATGTTCATTAGCCCACTAAAGTATTGTACCAGGTCTTTTGACATGACAGTGGCACTGCCTACGTAAAGTGTCAGAAAGGTTTGATAAGCTGTTGGGGTCCACTGTAGCAACTAAGCTTTTCATTCATAATAAGTCACTGCCATTTGTACTGTACTTTGTACTGTGATGCCCGAATGGCTAAAACTCCAAGTGAACAATCAACCTATTCATTTAGCACTTTATCTATCCATTTTGCACCACTTACTAAGGCGTTCTTTGGACAGATGGGATACATAATCCGTCCAGCATATTTTGGGTCTTTTTCAGAGTCTTCAGTTGGATGTGCTAATAATATCTGCACAAGAAGGTGTCCAGGAAGCATCCTAATTCCTAAGTATAACCGTCACATGGGTTGTGTGAAGTGTGCAATCGCACAGGGCCTCGCGCCTGGCCTGTAATCCTGCAGGGTTTTTTCTTTTAAAGGGCCTAAATGTAATTTTTTTAATGAAATAACTTAATCACTTTAATTGCCTATTTGTGAACAGAAACAGAACTACATATCAAAATGAACATATGTTGCTTTCTCGGTCCCTTAGAACTGCCACTTTGCTGCATCCTATGTGAAAAAATCAAGTCAGATTATTTGCATGGAGAGACCTCCGCTTTGTTCTGGATATAAAACCGACCCAGAGTTGGCTTTCATCTTATTGGACAGGTAAACTAACAACACTGCAAAGTATATGAAATATTTAATGATTCTGTGCTTTAGTTGGGACAAGGTAGATAACGTTATCTACTGCTTCTTAGCTAACGCCAAGGTGTTGTTAACGTAATCCATTGCAAAA